GGCAAATAGGCCCACCCACTCAGCAAATTTTACTCAGTGTATAGCCAGTTTTACTGTCTGTTAACAGTACTGTAACGAGAGAAGTAGAGCTCTGTATTCCACATCTAATACTGGTCATAGGCATACAAGGCATGGCTCTGGGCTCCCTGGCTGGACCATAATTATGCATAACTGGCTCACAATGGCCAGATTATAGGACTGCCATCTCATGTCTATGTGGATCATGCCTGTGATCATTCAGAGGTAGGTTGCCCAAGACATATTATGGTTGTCACTTGTGGAGGTATGACCCAACCTCCCTCCGGCACCATTAAGGCCTGAACATTCCAGTTTATGCGGTTGCAGAGAACAATGAGGAAGGCAGACAGTTCCAGTAATCTCAAGGGGGTGGAATGGAAATCAGGACGAGTTTTCAGCCTGTTGAATCGATGTTTCCTCTTTGAGCAGCTCGCACGCAGTTGGCTATCTATACCCAGAGATGTTAGATCGTAGCCTGACCTGGCTAATAACTACTGGATACGGTGACTGTCATTCCAAACAAACAAAAGAGAATGACTTTGGAAATACTTTGAGAACCACAACCTATTTTATAGATAATATATCATTATGTAAGTGTGTGCTTTCATCCTCTTAGTTAGCAGCCATTGGGGTGGATTTACTAAAGGAGTAGAACATTTTTACTTTGGAAGATTTACTAGGAACATGTAAAAAGACAGGATTTTTACTGGCATGTGATTGGACAATTGAAGTCAGTTTATCTTCATCTCATTCACTAAGCTAAAAGAAAATTCTCTTTGCTAAGTGAACAGTTTCTAATCCATAAGAAATCCACCCCCCTGACTCCAAGCCTGTATGCTAGTTCTAGGGAGGTGAATCAGAACATATTTAGTTAACATGTCACCATCCTAGAACTGTTATGTGTAATTAATAAGGGGGTTATTCACAAAAGGGTGAAGAGTTTGGAGAAGGCCGGAGAAGTGAACAATGTAGGACAACATCGCTGAACTGGAGAATTGTTCCCAATCAGCAATTGTGTCCTAGATTGTTCCCTTCTCCTGACTTCTCCAAACTCTTCACCCTTTTGTGAATAACCCTGTAATGTTTTAATTTCCACAGGAATTTTGTGAAAAAGGACATTTAGGCTAAATGTTACCCTTCCAGAACTGGAGTCAATGTGGAACACAAAATAAAGGTGGTTTTTAAGGGTGTAATTGGGATTTAGCTCATGAGGGTTATGGAAGCTTCTTATAACTACTGTGGACCTGTTCTTGTATCAAAAACACAAACAGAAAAATCAAATGTACACAAATAACAAATCAAACATAAACACAAAAAAGGGGGAAAAAAACACAAATACAAAAGAACACTAAGGGGGTTATTCACTTAGCTGCCGAAGGCAGCCGAATGAATAACCCAGCCGAAATGAGAGGCTCGGCTATTGTAATGTAAATAAATGAAAAAATAATTTTTTTAAAGCATTTACAGAAATTTCAAAAAAATACGAATATTAAAAACGTGAAGAAAATAATAAACAAATAAACCGGAGATTTCCATGCTTAACCCCTGGTAATCACAAAGGATGAAAAACTTGGATAATCAGTTTTCTGTGGACAACCATGGCCAGAATACACTGCGGTGCACTGCGCTTTGCTGTGAATTTGCTGTGAATGAGTGGACTGCGCTTTGCTGTGAATGAGTCCTTAGCCATATGTTAAAAAGAAACAATGAGGGTCCATTCAAACCCACTGTGCTGCACCGGCGCATGAATTACCACACGCTTTACCAGGGCATGCTGTAATGTGATATGTATGTGCATTGGCAATCATTTTCAAAAGCCACCCAATCCACATACACAATGGACCTCCCTTGTAGTGCACGGCAGATCGCCGCAATGCACAATGCGGACTGTAGGGTGATACGATAAAAAATAAATAAATACTGCAGGTCAGAATGGGCTGTGGTAATATAGCAGACCTTCATGCATAATAAAGTGCATTGTGTTGTTTGTGTTACTTCAGGGCAGACATTGCTAACAGGCCCCGAATCAACTCCCTATAAGAGGGCAATAGCAAGGATTACCATTGCTGCCATGCAGCGCTGGGTCCTGGATTCAATTCTTCTCAAATATAGACTGCACATTGGAGGAGAAGCGGATGAAAGACAGGATCTTTACTGCCCATTCACAAAACCTGATGCATTGTGGGGGAATAGTCGTACGAGTTCTCTGAATGGAGCAGAGGGCATGAAAGAGCGGGCTAGTGGCACAACTTTCCCACTAGCAGCTGCTACTGTTAACTATGGATGAAGCCAGTCTGAACCTGAGCTCATCCAAACATGGAAGCTAAATGGTCCTCCCATCCAATCAGCTGTGTGTCGGGGCATTCCCCGCCCTGCAACTGACCATAAACAAAGGGGCGGGATATTTGTGCTGACATTATTGACTTTAAATGGCCATATAAGGTAAATATTTACCTAATATACAGTAGCTGTAGCCACATAAGGTCAATGATGTCACTGCACCCCGCCCCTTTGCTTATGTCAAGCTGATTGGGCGGCACAGAAGGAGCTTTCTACCGTGTTCAGGGGGAGCTCCTTCCAGGATCGGAAGAACTCAGGTTCGGATTGGGTTCAGTTTGAACCTCGGCTCATCCCTACTGTTAACCCATACAGCACCAGAAGATAACTGCTCCGGGCAATATGCAGCAGCTATGAAGGTGGCATTAATGGAAGATTTTTACAATAAGCAGCAGCCTGCAGGAGATGGGATACACACCATTACAGGTAACTAATGTGTTTGGTGCTGTATCCCAAAAAATCAAAAATGACTAAAGTTCAGCTTTAGGAAGTAAATACATGAAACAATAATGAATGAATGAATGAACCTGGAAGAAATGTCTGCTTACCTTTAACAAAAGAATCAGACCGCATCATTCCATCCAATTGTCATGTTGAAGCTGCTGGTCACGCTTCGTTTGTGAACGGCTCTCTATCTCAGTGTGAATGTGATTTGTGATCACATAGATGTGTTTATAATTTACTAATAGGCTCTTTACAGGCCATTCATTTTGTATTGGGAAGCACAGGACTACAAGACGAATGTTGTCTTTTCCTATTTTTGCACTGATTATAATTTCCAGGGTCTGAAATGTCCTGTTGACCCGAGTGAAGAAAAGTAAATATATTAGTTGACACAATGAAATACCCCCCATGGGCTGCCTGTGAAGTCTGTGTATCATGTTACCACTTCATAGTGAATTCAGCTTTTTCCATGGCAGGTTCCAAGGGACAATCCCAAGCTCTCTTTGGGGGTAGGACAACAAGGGCAGAGGCTTTGTCCACATTATCCTGGCCTCTTACAAGCTGTCACTCTCCCTGCTACTGACAGCTTCTCTGTGTCAATATGTATAGAGGCCATACAACATGTACTCACCTGGGACTCACCGACTGGAGCCATTTATCAAATGACACAGACAGGCCATGGAGCAGCAACTCGATAAATATTGTCAAACAGAGCTTTGCTACAAAGGACAC